GGTAGCCTCCAGCGATATCCATAAACATTCGATTGCCATTCACTATACCCTGAAATACACAATCGTATTGGGAGTAGCGGCTCCAGTAGTCAGCTTTGCTTTCGATTGGTGCCTTTATTTGTATGTGAGTTCCGTCAATCGCTCCAGCGATATTTGGGAGTTCAGATATGTTTTGAAATGTATCAATTACTTCTTGCGTTTCAGCTGTTGTCGATGGGAATTTTATATATTCATTTCTAAGTTCGTACAAAGCGTTGACAATGTCCTCAAAAGCTTCAAAAGCTGTTGTTCGTCCTACATTCATAGCGACTCCAGCATTCTCATACCCTCCTCCGTGTGCCAGTCGATAGAGTCGACCTATTGCTAATATTTTTTCCGGCGTGATGCAATTTCGGAATCTTGTATTTTCTCGTTGTATGAGGGGCGAAATCGTTGTCAACAACAAATCAAACGAAGCCCGTTTCATTCTCATCTGGCGGAAAAAAAATTGCTCCGGAATCATTATCTGATAATAGTGAATCTCGAACCAAGATTGCACTGGTCGCGGTAAAACCCAGTATGGCCRATGCCTTTGCCTTCTTCGCCTATTCCTGCGCTGTTCTATTAAGATGGTCTGCTGGTGTAGAACAATCAAACGCCAGTAGCAGAGAAGAAGAAGAACTTGTTGTTGTTGTTGATAATAAGAATGAATTACCAGTAAAGCAATAAGTAAAGCAAGAACATTAAAAGGAAGCATGGTTAATTGTGGACGTAAACAAACTCACGTGTATTATGACTTTCGCGMCAGAAATACGAGACCTTTTAATTTTGATTGATGTTTGCGGTTGTATGACTCATTGTCCGGCCTCTAGTGCGAATGTGATTTAATCGTATATTGTTTGGCTTGGACAAAAAAAGAAATATCTTTGTTCGGACCGGACAAGTCTTGTCCGTCTAGTGCGAATCGGCCCTATTCTAGTAATTGTTCAATTGTGTTTAACTTCTCATATATAGTCTATTTGAGGTACATGATTCATGAAGGATTGGTCAGGCATGGGCTGCAATCCTTAAGTTATTTATACCTCCTTTTCAATTTATCATTAATCATTGTTTCTTATACCATTGAAGACCTTGTTTTGTGCTTGTCTTGGTGGGGTTGCCACAATTCTTGTGGCTCTTGGCGTGTATTTCCCCCCACTTTGCCGAAGAGACAGTTGATCTATCTTTGGTCACGTCACGTTTAGGAATGTTGTTATAACGTGGCGTGACTATTTAGTGTTTTTAATAAAACCGTCACAGCTTGTGGCCCATTTAAATCCAACCATTGGCTAGATTGTTCTGTCTCYTCATCAAACAAGCGCGACTTCGCACAGAGTATTGTCTTCTTATACTTATTTTGTTATTGTTTATATATCGATAATACGGTACAAAAATATATTTTTGTATACAGTTTTCTGTGATATGTGAAGTTCGAGTAGTCCGGGTTAAAACATCGATTATTGAAACAATGTTGATTATTGTAAGCTTATGTAGACTACTTTTTGCCGAGAAGCTTTCAGTTTACTTTTAATCAATTGACCTTTATAGATTATAATATTAAACTTCATCCAACGGAACAAAATCTACTGAAGTCAATATTAGTACGAACTAAATTCCCATAAACATACTCTTTATAATATTTGTTCATGTCAACAAAACTGTTGTAGCTCACATTCCTTAGAACAGAGCATATACCTGAAATAGCAGTACCTTGGTATTCCCCCTTCCACAAATACATTATGTGTTTGCGTTTAAGTTGTCAATTAGGTCGCCTTTTAGACAGAATTGTTCGCAGATTTAATGAGACAAAAGCTCTGGGGAAGAGTTTTGACTACCACTTCACTTGTAAAGACTCAAGATTGCTTCTACATAATTTAATGTATTTAATTTCATGCATTCTTCCTTTAGTTACAGCAATTGATAAGCATTTTATTACACTTCACATCAGTAGTATAAAAGTGGGACTTTTGCAACATGAGGAGCGGAGAAGCAGCCAATCAGAAGCGACACAGCGCCTCGTGACCAATGAGGAGCTTGATCTATAATGGCGTCCCCTCGGAGTCAGTAAGGATGGAACTGTCCATTCCAGTTCAAAGTGGAATGTTAGCGCATCCATTTCAGTTTGTCAATAGAAAAATTAATCTTCTGTCTTCGATCAAATTTATAAAAGAAGATCAGCCATGGAGTTACGTCACTTTTTTTCTAATCAATCTATAGACACAATTACAAAAAATTAAAAAAAAGCTATGATCAAGAAACAAGAAATGTTTTCGCAATGTGACTCAGCGAGGTAACATTGACTTTTTAGTTTTTGCTAGTAAAACTTAGCTCTTATTCTGTCTCTCTAGGCAATCGAAGAAAGCCCTCGTGTCCGATCATTACCTGGTCAATAAGCAATCCCAGATAACTCCAGCCATTACCTGGTCAACAAGGCAGCGATTTTATAGTGACTTCGCTCACTGAATTTATATGTGTCYGTTGTTAGCCTTCGTTTAGTCAAATAAAAAAAAAGTAAATTTGCCTTTCCATAATGAAAGGAATTAAGGAAAAGGTCCTTGGAGAGGGTTTGGTGTTGCATACGAGACAGTATGTAAGAATTGCCAAAAGAAATACATTGGGTGACACAGCACGAAACGCCGAGGAAAGGAACATTTGAAAGTCCTTGAAGATCTTGAGAAGTGAGCGGTCTGTGTTGATAAGGAAGAACACGAATCAAATGATCAACTTTCTTTGWAAGATAATAAATTGGATTAAATTTGTCAAGTTCGTAAAGTTCGAGGGAGAACTAGGGCGAAAACCATGGAATGATGCAGATCAATCATGTTTTGGGCTCCAATTTGGATCCCTCCAAGCATTCTGTCACAGAGACATTTTACAAAGAATGCTATATTTTCTTATTTTCCTGCTCAACCCCAACATTCATTCGGGGAAGAGGTTTTCGATGAGATTTTGGTGAAAAAGCCATAAAATCAGTCAAATAAGGAAATTAGGCCTAACAGCTAAGAGGATGTCATTTCTTTTTGTCCCCCGTTGTAGTCAGACCCCTTTAAAACTGCTGTCAAAAGGCTGAACTGGGAAAATCCCTCCAMAATGAACATAACCTGTCAGCAAGATGAAAGTAGTGCAATCTACCGCCTTACTACCGAATTACAGCAAAAGGATAACGAGCTTTCAACTCTAAAGGAAAAAAAAAAGATTTTGAGCCTAGAGAAACTAGTAAATCAAGGGACAATTCCTTCGACGATGGTCAGAGCATAAACGAAATCMGCTCAGATTGATGACTAAGCAGGAGATGGGCTTTTCAAATAAATAAAAATTAGTCTGGGGAAATCACTCCCAGTTGCATAGAAATAAATAACATTGAGTTACGTAGACAGCCACAATCTAAATTTATAAAATTACTATTTTACATTTCWCATAAACTTTTTTGATTGAGTTATATAATTCTAGTTTTTTCGAGTTTTCTAAAGCAGATTTCCATACCTTGGTGTATTGATTTTTCACTATTTGACAGTTGTCTCTCAGATTAGTTTTTGTAATAGGATTATTTAATTTATGTGTAATATTTATGTTGTATAATGAAAACATTCCTATCAGTTTTGAATGATTACACGGTTTTTGTTTATCATTGAAGAACGATTTTGCTTGTTTTGCAAAAGAATCATCAGGTAAATTAATTATGTTATTGAAGTATTGGAATATACCCTTTTTGACTACCYTTTTTAGAATTTAATTGATACAAATGCTAATGATTTTAGAACCCTTTTATAGGAAGGAAATAAGAAAAATAAGGAAATAAGATTAACCTAAATGCATGCCARTAGTCAAAATTTGATTCACATTGAGTTTGCAGTTCATCAACTTTGCGATCTGTTTGCGACCCTTTGCAACCTTGTGCTCATCAAAAATCATGAGAAACAAAATGCCCAACAAGAAAGGTCCTCTGGAATAGAAGTTGGGGAGCCATCTGAATTAGACAAGGTTTTAGAAACGATATACGAAAATTCTGAAGAGGCATATACAAACAAAGAAGCTTCACCCAACAAAAAACGACAAAAGCTAGAAAAGGAGCAAAAGCAATGCCAATGTACTGAAAACGCCAGCTAYGGTTCTAGAGGTGATAGCCAGATGCTCGCCTAGCTACCTGCCTGTCATCGCRGAGGGGATTCGCTCCTATGCAGCTARTCGTAGGATGAAACTAAATGAAAAAAAGKGTAAAGAAATGGTGATCGACTTCTTGCAGTATAAACCAACGATTCTTAGTCCTCTCATGATTGGTGGCTCAGTTGTCGAACGRATCTCRGACTATAAATTACTGGGCGTCTATATATCAATCACCTATCAAACACCTTGAATCAGCCACTTAGTCAGGCGGTTAAGTGCAGACCAAATGAGCTATCAAAGCCACATCGGAGCAGTAGTATCTGGGTTAGCCCTTAATGTAAAATGCTCCCATGTGGCTTTGATAGCTCAGTTGGTAGAGCATGGCACYGGTATAAGTTTTTWAAAGTAAAAGAGACTACAAAATATAATCACACAGCTGTAAAACTCACGGCAAATGAGAGGGTTCGGCAGTATGCAAAAGGAACTCTCCATGCAGATGATGGGGTTTTATTCTGTTCAATGTGTAATACTGTAATCGACCCAGCGACAAAATCCACAATTGACAGACACCTGGAATCACAGAGTCATCACGAGAAAGTCAAAAGTAAGATAAGTCAGAAAAAGCAGCAAACTTTGAAAACGGCATTTGAATGCAAGTCTGTGACTCAAGTTGAGAGTAAAAGTGTGCCAGGAATG